AATGGTGTGATCTTGGCTCACTGCAACCTCCACCTCCCAGGTTCAAGCGATTCTCCTGTCTCAGCCTCCTGAGAAACTGGGATTACAGGCACATGCACCACGCCCGGCTGATTTTTGTATTTTTAGTAGAGACGAGGTTTCATCATATTGGTCAGGCTGGCCTCAAACTCCTGACCTCAGGTGATCCACCTGCCTTGGTCTCCCAAAGTGCTGGGAGTACAGGCATGAGCCATCACACCCAGCCTAACGCTGGAAGATGTTTTAAGTATATAAGTTTCTTGTACAGTGAAAATCATACACATGTGATATAAAGAAATCATAAAATTTCAATGAACAGAGGTTGCCCATGACACAAAGGACAAGTGTTAAGGCAACATGTGAACAGGGCTTTCTATAACTCTTCAGGTGCACACATGGGGAGCAGCCAAGGATCTCTGCAGAAAAACTCACTCCAGAGGTCAGTGGCTAGAAGCACAGATGGAGAGTGAGTGAGCACGAGCACCTCGTGGACTCAGCCCTCCCAGGTACGGTACTGGAAGACGCTCAAGACACAGCTCAATGAGAAATGTAGTAAATGAGGTTCTTCTTTAGTCTTTTTTTTTTTTTTTTTTTTTTTTGAGACAGAGTCTTGCTCTGTCACCCAGGTTGGAGTGCAATGGCGCAATCTTGGTTTACTACAACCTCTGCCTCCCGGGTTCAAGAGATTCTCTTGCCTCAGCTTCCTGAGTAGCTGGGATTACAGGAGCCCGCCACCATGCCTGGCTAATTTTTGTATTTTTAGTAGAGACAGAGTTTCTACTAAAGAGTCTGGCTGGTCTCAAATCCCCAACCTCAGGTGATCTGCCTCCTCGGCCACCCAAAGTGCTGGGATTACAGGCATGAGCCATCACGCCCGGCCTTCTTGAGTCTTAAAATTAGAAACTTGTTTCCTCTAAAGGCCAGAAATGTTCAGAGTTCTCTAGAAGCAGCGGCCCGTCATGATTACACCAACATTAATGAAATACAGTAAATGATTCTGGACACCAGGCATTCACTTCCCAAGGCTCAGTGTAGGTTAAGTTGTGCCCAGCTTGAGAGGACTGCCAGGATTAACCCAGAGCCTGTCAGACTCCCCAGGGAGCTGCTACAAGCTCCAGCGCCACACTCCTTCCTGACACCAGCTCCAGGCTCAGCAGGTTAAGTTGTGCCTCCAGCTTGAGAGGACTGCCAGATTAACCCAGAGCCTGTCAGACTCCCAGGGAGCTGCTACAGCTCCAGCGCCACTCTTCCTGACACCAGCTCCAGCGCCACACCTTCCTGACACTGCTCCAGTGCCACTCTACCTTTTCCTGACACCAGCTCCAGCGCCACTCCTTTCCTGACACCGCTCCAGTGCCACACTCACTCCTTCCTGACACCAGCTCCAGCGCCACACTCCTTCCTGACACCAGCTCCAGCGCCACACTCACTTTTCCTGACACTCAGCTCCGTGCTACACTCCTTCCTGACACTCAGCTCCAGTGCTGCTACTACTCCTTTTCCTGACACTAGCCCAGTGCCACACTCCTTCCTGACACCAGCTCGTGCCACACTCACTCTTCCTGACACCAGCTCCAGTGCCACACTCCTTCCTGATACTCAGCCTCCAGTGCCACACCTACCTTTTCCTGACACTAGCTCCAGTGCCACACTACTCCTTCCTGACACCGGCTCCAGTGCCACTCACTCTTCCTGACACCAGCTCCAGCGCCACACTCCTTCCTGACACCACCTGTGCCACACTCCTTCCTGACACCAGCTCCAGTGCCACACTCACTCCTTTCCTGACACTGCTCCAGCGCTCTACACTCACTCCTTCCTGACACCAGCCTCCAGTGCCACACTCACTCTTTCCTGACACCAGCTCCAGCGCTACACTTCACTTCTTCTGACACCAGCCCGTGCTACATCACTTCCTGACACCAGCTCCAGTGCCACACTCACTCCTTCCTGACACCAGCTCCAGTGCTACACTCCACCCTTCCTGACACCCAGCTCCAGTGCCACACTCACCCCTTTCCTGACACTCCGCTCCAGTGCCACACCTACTCCTTCCTGACACCAGCTCCAGTGCTATTAATTTCACTTCCTGACACCAGCTCCAGTGCCACTCACTCTTCCTGACACCAGCTCCAGCTACACTCCTTCCTGACACCAGCTCCGTACCACACTCTCTTCTGATACCAGCTCCAGTGCCACTTCACTCCTTCCTGACACTCAGCTCCAGTGCTACACTTACTCTTCCCTGACACCGGCTCCAGTGCTACACTCACTCCTTCCTGACACCAGCTCCAGCGCCACATTCTTCCTGACACCTTTGCCCGTGCCACACTTTCTTCCTGACACCAGCTCCAGTGCCACACTCCTTCCTGACACCAGCTCCTCGTGCCACTTCACTCCTTCCTGACACTCAGCTCCCAGTGCTACACTCTTCCTGACACCAGCTCCAGTGCCACTACTCCTTCCTGACACCAGCGCTCCAGTGCTACACTTCACTCTTCCTGATACTCAGCTCGTGCTACACTCACTTCCTGATACTCAGCTCCAGTGCTACACTTCCTTCCTGACACTAGCCCCAGTGCCACTCACTCCTTCCTGACACCAGCTCCAGTGCTACACTCACTCCTTTTCCTGACACCAGCTCCAGTGCCACACTCACTCCTTTTTCCTGACACCAGCCTCCAGTGCTACACTCTTCCTGACACTGCCCAGCTCTACACTTCATCTCCTTTTTCCTGACACCGTTCCAGCGCCACACTACCTTTTCCTGACACCAGCTCCAGCGCCACACTTCCTGGCACCGCTTCCAGTGCTACACTTTACTCTTCCTGACACCAGCCTTCCAGCTTACACCTTCCTGGTACCAGCTCCAGCGCCACACCTACTCCCTTCCTGACACCAGCTCCAGTGCCACACTCTTCCTGGCACTGCCCAGTGCCACACTACTCCTTCCTGACACTAGCTCCAGCGCCACACTCACTTCCTTTCCTGACACCGGGCTCCAGTGCTACACTACTCTTTTCCTGACACTGCCCAGTGCCACACTCACTTTTTCCTGATACTAGCTCCAGTGCCACACCTTTACTCCTTCCTGACACCGGGCTCCAGTGCTACACTCACTTTTCCCTGACACTCAGCTCCAGTGCTACACTCCTTCCTGACATCGCCCAGCGCCCGTGCTACACTCACCTTTCCTGACACTCAGCTCCAGTGCCACTCTCTTCCTGACACCAGCTCCGGTGCCACACTCACTCCTTCCTGACACCAGCTCCAGTGCCACACTCACTCCTTCCTGACACCGGCTCCAGTGCCACTCACTTTTCCTGACACCAGCCCAGCGCCACACTCTTCCTGACACCAGCTCCAGTGCCACACTCTTCCTGACACCAGCTCCAGCCACACTCTTCCTGACACCAGCTCCGGTGCCACACTCCTTCCTGACACCAGCTCCAGCGCCACTCCTTCCTGACACCAGCCCAGTGCCACACTCCTTCCTGACACTAGCCCGTGCCACACCTACTCCTTCCTGACACCAGCTCCAGTGCCACACTTCCTTCCTGACACCAGCTCCAGTGCCACACTCCACTCCTCTTCCTGACACCAGCTCCAGTGCCACACTTCACTCCTTCCTGACACCAGCTCCGTGCCACACTCCTTCCTGGACACTCAGCTCCAGTGCTACACTCACTCCTTCCTGACACCAGCTCCAGTGCCATTCACTCCTTCCTGACACTGGGCCCAGTGCCACACTCACTTTTCCTGACACCAGCTCCGGTGCTACACTCCTTCCTGACACCTGCCTCCAGTGCTACACTTTACTTTTTCCTGACACCAGCTCTGGTGCCACTCCTTCCTGACACCAGCTCCAGTGCCACACTCTTCCTGACACCAGCCCGTGCCACACTCCTCTGACACTCCAGCTCCAGAAAAGCTACACTCCTTCCTGACACCAGCCCGTGCTACACTCCTTCCTGACACTAGCCCGTGCTACACTCCTTCCTGATAATTAGCTCCAAAAGGCTCCACTTTCCTGACACTAGGCTCCGGGTGCTACACTCCTTCCTGACAACCAGCTCCGAAAAGCACTCCACTCCTTCCTGACACCAGCCCAGTGCCACACTCCTTCCTGACACCAGCTCCGTGCCACTCCTTCCTGACACCAGCTCCAGCGCCACACCTTCCTGATACCAGCTCCAGTGCTACACTCCTTCTGACACCAGCTCCAGTGCTACACTCTTTCCTGACACCAGCTCCGGGAAGAAGACTCCTTCCTGACACTCAGCTCCGTGCTACACTCCTTCTGATACCCAGCCTCCGTGCTACACTCTCTTTTCCTGACACCAGCTCCAGTGCCACACTCCTTCCTGACACTAGCTCTCGTGCCACACTCACTCCTTCCTGACACCAGCCCAGTGCTACACTTACCTTCCTGACACCAGCTTCCAGTGCTACACTCTACCTTCTGACACTAGCTCCAGTGCTACACTCACCTCTTTCCTGACACCAGCTCCAGTGCCACACTCCTTCCTGACACCAGCTCCAGTGCCACACTCACTTTTTCCTGACACCAGCTCTGAAAGACTCCTTCCTGACACCAGCTCCGGTGCTACACTCCTTCCTGACACCAGCCTGTGCTACACTCCTTCCCTGACACCAGCTCCAGTGCCACACCTACCCTTCCTGACACCAGCCGCTCCAGTGCCACACTCACCCTTCCTGACAGCCAGCTCCAGTGCTACACTCCTTCCTGACACCAGCCCGGTACCACTCCTTCCTGACACCAGCTCCAGTGCCACACTCACTCTTTCCTGACACTGCCCAGTGCTACACTTGCACTTTTCCTGACACCAGCTCCAGCGCCACACTCACTCCTTCCTGACACCAGCTCCGTGCCACTCACTCCTTCCTGACACCAGCCTCCAGTGCCACACTCACCTTTTCCTGACACTAGCCCCAGTGCCACTCACTCTTTTCCTGACACTAGCTCCAGTGCCACACTCACTCCTTCCTGACACCAGCTCCAGTGCCACACTCACTCTTCCTGACACCAGCCTAGCGCCTGCCACCTACCTTTTCCTGACACCAGCCCAGCGCCTACACTCACTTCTGACACCAGCTCCGTGCTAACACTCTCTTCCTGACACCAGCCCGTGCTACACTCTTCCTGACACCAGCTCCAGTGCTACACTTCATTTCTTCCTGATACTCAGCTTCCAGTGCCACACTCACTCCTTCCTGACACCAGCTCCAGTGCTACACTCCTTCCTGACACCAGTTCGCAAGCACTCCTTCCTGACACCAGCCCGTGCTACACTCCTTCCTGACACCAGCTCCAGTGCCACACTCCTTCCTGACACCAGCTCCAGTGCCACACTCACTCCTTCCTGACACCAGCTCCAGTGCTACACTCCTTCCTGATACCAGCTCCGTACCACACTCCTTCCCCACATTTTCAGCCTCCAGTGCTACACTTTACCTCTTTCCTGACACTGCCTGTGCCACACTCTACTTTTTCCTGACACTAGCCCCAGCGCCACACTTCACTTCTGACACTAGCCCGTGCTATTCACTCACTCCTTCCTGACACCAGCTCCAGTGCCACACTCCTTCCTGACACCAGCCCAGTGCCACTCTACTCCTTCCTGACACCAGCTCCAGTGCCACACCCTTCCTGACACTCAGCCCGTGCCACACTCCTTCCTGACACCAGCTCCAGCGCCACACTCCTTCCTGACACCAGCTCCAGTGCCACACTCTTCCTGACACCAGCTCCAGTGCCACACTCCTTCCCACACCAGCCCGTGCTACACTCCTTCCTGACACCAGCCTCCAGTGCCACACTTTCCTGACACTCAGCCCGGTGCTACACTTCCTGACACCAGCTCCAGTGCCACACTCACTCTTCCTGACACCGCCCAGTGCCACACTCACTCCTTCCTGACACCGGCCTCCAGTGCCACTCCTTCCTGACACTAGCCTGCATGCTACACTCACTCCTTCCTGACACCAGCTCCCGTGCCACACTCCTTCCTGACACCAGCTCCAGTGCCACACTCCTTCCTGACACCAGCTCCAGTGCCACACTCACTCCTTCCTGACACCGGCTCCAGTGCCACACTCACTCCTTCCTGACACGCTCCAGTGCCACACTTCTTCCTGGACACCAGCCCGTGCCACTCCTTCCTGACACCAGCTCCAGCGCCACACTCCTTCCTGACACCAGCTCCAGTGCCACACTCTTCCTGACACCAGCCTCCAGTGCCACACCTGCCTTCCTGACACCGCCCAGTGCCACTCCTTCCTGACACTAGCTCCGTACTCACTCCTTCCTGACACCAGCTCCAGTGCCACACTCACTCCTTCCTGACACCAGCTCCAGTGCTACACTTTACTCCTTTTCCTGACACCAGCCTCCAGTGCTACACTACTCCTGATACCAGCCCGTGCTAATTTCTTCCTGACACTAGCCTGTGCACACTTCCTTCCTGATACTAGCCCGTGCCACACTACTCCTTTTCCTGACACTCAGCCCAGTGCTACACTTTACTCCTTCCTGACACTGCCTCCAGTGCTACACTCACTCCTTTCCTGACACTCAGCTCCAGTGCTACACTTCATTTCTTCCTGATACTCAGCTTTTCCAGTGCTACACTTTCCTGATACATTTGTGCTCTAGTGCTATATACTTACTTTTTTCTGATACTCAGTTTCCAGTGCTACATTTCATTTCTTTTTTCCTGAGTTAATTTCAGTTTCCGCATTTCACATTTCCTTCTGACACTGCCTCTAGGTGCTACACTTCACTCCCTTTTTCCTGACACCAGCTCCGGTGCCACTACTCCCTTTCCTGACACCAGCTCCAGTGCCACACTTCCTTCTGACACTGCTCCAGTGCCACACTTCATTTCTTCCTGACACCGGCCCAGTGCTACACTACTCCTTCCTGACACCAGCTCCAGCGCTACACTCCTTCCTGACACCCTGCTCCAGTGCCACACTTCATCTTCCTGACACCAGCTCCAGTGCCACACTCCTTCCTGACACCAGCTCCAGTGCCACACTCCTTCCTGACACCGGCTCCGGTGCCACACTCCTTCCTGACACCAGCTCCAGCGCCACACTCACTCCTTCCTGACACCGGCTCCAGTGCCACACTCACTCCTTCCTGACACCAGCTCCAGCGCCACACTCACTCCTTCCTGACACCAGCTCCAGTGCCACACTCCTTCCTGACACCGGCTCCAGTGCCACACTCTCCTGACACCAGTGCTCCAGTGCCACACTCACTCCTTCCTGACACCAGCTCCAGTGCCACACTCCTTCCTGACACCAGCTCCAGCGCCACACTCCTTCCTGACACCGCTCCAGTGCTACACTCACTCCTTCCTGACACCAGCTCCAGCGCCACACTCACTCCTTCCTGACACCGGCTCCAGCGCCACACTCACTCCTTCCTGACACCGGCTCCAGCGCCACACTCACTCCTTCCTGACACCGGCTCCAGCGCCACACTCACTCCTTCCTGACACCGGCTCCAGTGCCACACTCACTCCTTCCTGACACCGGCTCCAGCGCCACACTCACTCCTTCCTGACACCGGCTCCAGCGCCTACACTCACTCCCTTCCTGACACCAGCTCCAGCACACCCTTCCTGACACCAGCTCCAGTGCCACAGTCCTTCCTGACACTGCCCGTGCTACACTCCTTCCCTGACACCGCCCGTACCACACCCTTCCCACACCAGCTCCAGCGCCACACTCACTCCTTCCTGACACCAGCTCCAGCGCCACACTCACTCCTTCCCTGACACCGGCCCAGTGCCACACTCACTCCTTTCCTGATACTCAGCTCCAGCGCTACACTCCTTCCTGACACCAGTTCCAGTGCCACACTCCTTCCTGACACCAGCTCCAGTGCCACACTCCTTCCTTTTGACACCGCTCCAGCGCCACACTCACTCCTTCCTGACACCAGCTCCAGTGCCACACTTCACTCCTTCTTCCCTGACACTGCCCAGTGCCACACTCACTCCTTCCTGACACCAGCTCCAGTGCCACACTCACTCCTTCCTGACACCAGCTCCAGCGCCACACTCCTTCCTGACACCAGTTCCAGTGCCACACTCCTTCCTGACACCAGCCCAGTGCCACAGTCCTTCCCACACCGGCCCGGTGCCACACTCCTTCCTGACACCGGCCCGGTACCACACCCTTCCTGACACCAGCTCCAGCGCCTACACCTTACTCCTTTCCTGACACCAGCTCCAGCGCCACACTCACTCCTTCCTGACACTGCTCCAGTGCCACACTCTACTCCTTCCCTGACACCAGCTCCAGCGCCACACCTCCTTCCCTGACACCAGTTCCAGTGCCACACTCCTTCCTGACACCAGCTCCAGTGCCACACTCCTTCCTGACACCGGCTCCAGCGCCACACTCACTCCTTCCTGACACCAGCTCCAGTGCCACCTCACTCTTCCTGACACCGGCTCCAGTGCCACACTCACTCCTTCCTGACACCAGCTCCAGTGCCACACTCACTCCTTCCTGACACCAGCTCCAGCGCCACACTCCTTCCTGACACCAGTTCCAGTGCCACACTCCTTCCCACACCAGCCCAGTGCCACACTCCTTCCTGACACCGGCTCCGGTGCCACACTCCTTCCTGACACCAGCTCCAGCGCCAGCACTCACCCTTCCTGACACCAGCTCCAGCGCCACACTCACTCCCTTCCTGACACCGGCTCCAGTGCCACACTCAATTCTTCCCCTGACACCAGCTCCAGCGCCACACTCACTTTCCTGACACCGGCTCCAGCGCCACACTCACTCCCCTTCCCACACCAGCTCCAGTGCTACACTCACTCCTTCCTGACACCAGCTCCAGTGCTGCCACTCACTCCTTCCTGACACCAGCTCCAGCGCCACACTCACTCCTTCCTGACACCGGCTCCAGCGCCACACTCCTTCCTGACACCAGCTCCAGTGCCACACTCACTCCTTCCTGACACCGGCTCCAGTGCCACACTCACTCCTTCCTGACACCAGCTCCAGTGCCACACTCACTCCTTCCTGACACCGGCCCAGTGCGACACTCCTTCCTGACACCAGCTCCAGCGCCACACTCACTCCTTCCTGACACCAGCTCCAGCGCCACACTCCTTCCTGACACCAGTTCCAGTGCCACTCCTTCCTGACACCAGCCTCCAGTGCCACAGTCCTGACACCGGCCCGTGCCACACTCCTTCCTGACACCGGCCCGTACTAATACCCTTCCTGACACCAGCTCCAGCGCCACACTCACTCCTTCCTGACACCAGCTCCAGCGCCACACTCCTTCCTGACACCGGCTCCAGTGCCACACTCACTCCTTCCTGACACCAGCCTCCAGCGCCACACTCCTTCCTGACACCTGTAGTTCCAGTGCCACCTCTTTCCTGACACTAGCCCAGTGCCACACTCCTTCCTGACACCGGCTCCAGCGCCTACACCTACTCCTTCCTGACACCAGCTCCAGTGCCACACTCACTCCTTCCTGACACCCGCTCCAGTGCCACACTCACTCCTTCCTGACACCAGCTCCAGTGCCACACTCACTCCTTCCTGACACCAGCTCCAGCGCCACACTCCTTCCTGACACCAGTTCCAGTGCCACACTCCTTCCTGACACCAGCTCCAGTGCCACACTTCCTGACACCGCTCCGGTGCCACACTCCTTCCTGACACTAGCCCAGCTCACACTCACTCCTTCCTGACACCAGCTCCAGCGCCACACTCACTCCTTCCTGACACCGGCTCCAGTGCCACACCTACTCCTTCCTGACACCAGCTCCAGCGCCACACTACTCCTTCCTGACACCCGGCCCAGCGCCACACTCACTCCTTCCTGACACCAGCTCCAGTGCCACACTCACTCCTTCCTGACACCAGCTCCAGTGCCACACTCACTCCTTCCTGACACCAGCTCCAGCGCCACACTCACTCCTTTTCCTGACACCGCCCAGCGCCACACTCCTTCCTGACACCAGCCCAGTGCCACACTCACTCCTTCCTGACACCGCCCAGTGCCACACACTCTCCTTCCTGACACCAGCTCCAGTGCCACACTACTCCTTCCTGACAATCGCTCCAGTGCCACAATTCTTCCTGACACCAGCTCCAGTGCCACACCCTTCCTGACACCAGCCCAGTGCCACACTCTCCTGACACCGCCCGTGCCACACTCCTTCCTGACACCAGCTCCAGCGCCACACTTCCTGACACCGGCCCTCGTGCCACACTTTTCCTGACACCAGCGCTCCAGCGCCACACCTACCTTCCCCGATTAATCGCTCCAGTGCCACACTCACCCTTCCTGACACCAGCTCCAGCACCACACTCACTCCTTCCTGACACCAGCTCCAGTGCCACACTCCTGACACCGCTCCAGTGCCACACTCCTTCCTGACACCGGCTCCAGTGCCACACTCCTTCCTGACACCGGCTCCAGTGCCACACTCCTTCCTGACACCGGCTCCAGTGCCACACTCCTTCCTGACACCGGCTCCAGTGCCACACTCCTTCCTGACACCAGCTTTCAGCCTCTGCTTGATGGAGAGCATGTCACCAAGGTTGAGCGGCAAGCGGCTACAGCCACAGCCTGGCACAGCAAATGACACAGCAGATTGGACCCGTGGTTCCTAGGCCGCTGTGCCTAACCACGCTAACGTGCTCTTTGCACTATGAAAGCTGGAGCAAGGCTTGCTGAGACAGAAGAGGAAAAAACAGATCTGTTGCTGGAGATATGAAGAAAGATAAACAGAAAGCAGAAAGTACAGTTTTAAATTTGGTGATGGTGTTGGCTTGGTTTTGTTTTTTGAGACACAGTCTCACTCTGTCACTCAGGCTGGAGTGCAGTGATGTCATCACGGCTCACTGCAGCCTCCAACTCCTGGGCTCAAGCCATCCTCCCACCTCAGCCTCCTGAGTAGCTGGGACTCCAGGCACAGGGCATCACACTCGGCCTTTTTTCTTTTGTTCTTTTGGTAGAGACGGGGTCTCAATATGTTGCCTAGGCTGGTCTTGAACTCCTGGCCTCAAGTGATCCTCCCGCCTTCACCTCCCAAAGTGCTGGGATTACAGGCATAAGCAACTGCACCTGGCTGTACTGGTTTTTAACAAGCATAGATTTGCAGGAATAGCTCTCTTTATTTGCAAATAGCAGTGAGTAAGGCTTACTGAGACTAGACAGAGCATTTCTCTGGATTTGGGGCTGAGGCCCCCATCACCATCTCGTCTGTCTGTCTGTCTGTCTTCCCTCTGTCTAGTCACCCGGCAGCTCCGACCTCCCACAGTGCGAGCCCATGTGACATGTGCACTGAGCTACTTGCTCCATAATCATGAATGTTCAGTGACAAAAGCACAATAATGGAATGAATCTGAGAAACACATATTGGCCAAAAATTGCTATTAATTCAGCAATGCTTCGATAAACGGTGACTGATTCATCACAACAGAAATTCACATGTTTGAAACAGAGCTCCTCCCCAGGGGAGTGCCGTATCTGGTGTATAGTGAGCATCAGAAGCATGGCGCAGCCCTTCAGCTGGAGCCTGGGCACAGGTCTAAGGACTCAATGACTTCAGCACAGGCGCGGTGGGACCCCAAGGCTGCAGGTACCGCGAGGACTCCTGCCCACCCCAGTCCCAGCCCCCTCCCCCAGCCTGGCTTTCTTGCACTCTGAAGGGCACGTGTTTCCTGCAGGTGACCCAGTTTGTAGGAAAACCTGTATTGCTGCCTCCTCTAAGTGTCCACCGTATCTTTTAATCCTACAAACAGCACTCAGGGAAGCAACAGGACGGATGGGTGCTGGGGAGGGAACTCAGAAGAATGTCTACAAAACGCAGGGAGGCAGAAGCGAGGGGCAGCCACGGGTACCTTCCAACACGTGAAGGCCCGAAGCTTCTATTCTCGGCGACCAGTTGCCTAGGGAGACTCGGGGAACCCTGAGGACTCCCAGGCAGGGCAGCGATAGGAATGGATGCAGCAGCCGCCAGGGCCTTCGAGGAGGATGTGGGGACTCAGAAACGGAAATGAGCGCAGGTCACCTGGAGAAGGGCTGGGAGGCCACCCTGCAAGCTCGCCTCCCCCCCGGCACACCCAGCTGTGGTGTGCAGGTGATGGCCTGATGGAGCTGCAGCCTCCGCAGACCCAGGGAGAGCGGTGGAAGCCAGGCAGGCCTCCGAATTCCACACCCCTTCCTTGCCTACCACTGGATCCCACACAGCCCAGGACACAAATGATCTGGAAGTAAGAGTCAAACTATACAAAAGTATTTCCACATAAGCCCAGAACCAAGCACCCATAGACACCCCTACACAGGCAGCAAGGTCTGGAACTGGCAGCCGGGGGACATCCGCCCTGCAGGGCTCTCCCTTGCAGAGACTGCAGCCCTCGCAGACACTGCAGAAAAGCGTGTGCAGCGCGGAAGGATGTTCTCCCTGCTTTTAAGGAGCCGTGATTATGTTGCCCAGTGCCCCTGGCGTGCCTTTCTCTGTACAAGGAGACTTAGCGGCTTCTCCACCCCATCACTGCAGCTGGGCGGCTTCCTGCATGAGGAAGTCATGCTGACCTGAGTCTCCCCAGGCTGCCCGAGGCTCCTTGTACACCGAGATGCTGAGTCCTGAGGTGCCTTCCAGCACCAGCAAATGGGACTAACGGCTTCTGCAGTGTCGCGACCATTCTGAAGTGAGTATTCCGTGGTTGTCTGTTACCCTCCGTGAAGCCCAGGGAGCAGGGATTCAGGGCCGACCAGGGATCACTGTGTTCTATGCTCACGCGTGGAAGCTCTGCACTTGGGCCCCAAAGCCCGAGTAAAGTTTCACCTTGAACTTCTTCCAGCAGGATAAACAGTAGGGTTCAGTGCTGAGAATCTGCAGTTTAAACCCTGACTCCACTAGAAAATAAATGCTAGACTGGGTCATATATTGAAGCTGTGTTTTCCTTACGCGTAAAATGGCAGTAAAATTCCTTCCAGAGGCCAGGCAGGGAGGGAACGCCCACAGAACACTCGGAGTGGGACTTGGCAGAGACGGAGCTAGACAGGGGCTGTTACTTAGTGCTGGCATCTTTTATTGGTGGCGATGTTATTTTATGTTCTATGATTACGTAATTTCCTTCTTATAATCTCACCCTTATTGCTTATCTTAGAGTGAGGTTTCAGGAGCAACATCATCAATGTCGTGTTTGATATTCTGGACAATCTAACACAAGCAATTTCTAATTCATAATCCACTGTTTATATCTGTTGATTATTTGTTTATAATAAATATTTTGGGGCACTTTTCCCCAATCTGCCACCAACCTCAGATATGCTTTCATGAAGCCCATCTTCAATTAAGACCCATGTGCTTTATTTTTGTGAAAAATTGAGATGTGAAGACATTCTGTGCTCTGCTAGGCTGTGTCCTGAGAACCCCCCTTTCAAAAAGGTTCTCAGTATTGTAGGTATCACTTTTTTCCGTTATAAATCACAAAATGTGGTAGCCAGTTAACAATGCACAGGTATTGTTTTTTCCATTATAAATCACAAAATGTGGTAGCCAGTTAACAATGCACAGGTGTTGCTCCCCTGAAGGTGCCTGCAGAACGATGCGGAGGGTCCCTCCTCATCCACAGCTCTTGCGTGTGATTTATTCCTGCTGTGAGCCCTCCAGGGAGTCCACCAGGCTGCCGTCTGTGTCTGTGGCGGCGTGAGTGAACATGTGCACGTGAGGGTACATTCAGTCTTCTATCGCTAACACCTCAGAGACCACAGACTGTCAGGCTGGAAGAGACCCTACAGGTTACATAAACCAACTCCCTTCTTTTAGAGCTGAGAAATTTCAGGTGCAAAGGAGGGAGCGGCTGTAACATGGTGGCTCTAGAATAAGACTGCCCGGGTGTGAATCCTGGTGCAACTACTTATTACCTGTGTGATCTTGGGAAAGTGACTTAACCTTTCTGGGTCACAGTTTGGATACCTATAAATGGCAGGTAATAACAGTCTCTATTTGTGTGGCTACTTTAACAATAAAATTAAATCATTCATGTAAAGAACTTAAAAGACGCTCAGATAGATTCCGGTGAGCTATGATTGTACCACTGCACTCCAGCCTCCTGTAGCCTGGGCAAAGGAGAAGATAGTCTCTAAAAAATAAAAAAATAAAAATCTCTGCAAAAGTTTGGACCTAATCATGATCCAAAACCATGGCTTGATGACTTCCAAATGCATTGCTTCCCTTTTTGGATCATCATTTATATGACACAATATGTTGTAAAATGACACAAAAACATTAATGAACATATCTCTGTTGTAGATGTCTATGTACAGACGTCCTTGTCCCAAAACCTATGTGGATCCCCGAGTGCACAGATGCCATTACAGCAAATAATGCTCCCAATAAAATGCAGCAAAGTATAACTAAAAATTTAAGGAACTCCTTCAGACCCTTAATGATTCTGTAAATATAGCCCTAAGGTCATTTGTAAACCCAATAAAATACATTCAACTGAAGCGCTTACTCCAAGTTTTGATCATCAGTGACAAAAGTACATGAAGAAGTATTCGGTGTCCTTGAATCAAGCCACCACTAAATTCAATCCTCTATGTATTCATTTATACAAATTCTCTATTTCCTGGTTTTTAGTCCCTAATGCACAAAGATTTTAAAGGAGGTGAGGCTGGGCTGAAAGCTCCCCAAGGGTGGGAACCAGGTGTGGCGGCTTAGCTTCTGTTCTCTGGAGCAATGCTTGGATCGCAAATATTTTGGAATGAATGCAGACTGAACAAACGAATGCGTCAGAAACCAAACTTGCACGCAGTGCCAGCAAATCACAGCTCAAAGTATTTGTTCATCAGCTGTTGTTCAAAACTTTGAACTCAGCACACCAAAAACAGTTTATGTGTCACAACATGCAATGTGCCAAAGTGCAGGTTGGTTGAAAGCTGAACACATAAAACCCAAGGGCTGTCTGTGGCAACAGGGCCCGCAACAGAATAAAGATCCAGAAGCCACCAGCAGCAGGCTGGAGACACAGAAAACACAACCGGAGTCTCCAGGGCAGCAACAGGAGACGCAGGTTTAAGGGTCCATCCGGCAGGAAGAACGACCTGGAAGAGGCTTGGCTCGGGCCGGACCCAGTGGTATGAACGTGCAATTCTCAGGGGCGAGGCAGAGGAAAGCACCAGGACTTTGGGTCCCTGGTGCCATGAGAGGCTCCCTATAAGGATGGTGCCCAGCCAGGCCCTGAAGGCAAGTGACCAGAAGGGGTGGCAGTGCAGAGCCCTGCCCAGTGGAGGGGGCACAGAGGAGTTCACTCCTGGCACAACCAGGGCTGAGTTGCGAGTTGGAAGAAGGCCTTGTTGAGGAGGAAGCCAGAGGGAGAAAGGAGCCAGCCTGGGAGGGCCTCAGAGGGCGGGTGGGAAGAGGAAGCTCCTGGGCCCAGTGTGGGCGCAGTGCTGCTGAGCGCCTTCAACAGCCCAGCCTCCAGCACTGTCAGCTCCTCAAACGAGATGTGAGCCATGCTGGTGGGGAAGGCTCCCACCTCCGGTCCCCACTTCCCCCATGGATAAGTGGCGTCTGCCAATAGAGACCTGTGCCCAGGGGTTATCGGGATTTGCATACTGCAAAATGTATATAGCAAAGACAGTAGATAAAAGGACACACACAACACACACACACATTTACCTACAATATACTGATTGAGCAAAAGGAATATTGACATCTCCAGGCCACTGTAAGGGAGCATGATTATGTAGTTTGAAAAACAGCAAACTAATAAAGCATTGTTCTGTTGGCAAATAAATAGAGAGGTTTAGACCACCACAACGAAGTGAAACAAATCACGCGGTTTTCCTTAAGACCTAACTTTTGCATTGAGTTTTGTATGAGCCTGTGAATGATGGTAGAGAAACCTGAAAGAGAAGCAATCGACTCATGCAAACACATTTCTTAAAATACTGTTTCTAACTTTCAGACTTTGGCTGGGTGTATCCCTACTGCCGTGAGATGTGAACTCTGGAACCTCTCAAGCTACAAGCCATTCCCCACAGGATTACCTGCCTTCACTTTTCTAATATAACAATTGCTTTCCAATTGTTATATTAGAAATTTCAGTGTAGCACAGGTGATTAAGAGTGGATACTGCTTCAAGACCGCCTGGATTTCGAAGCTGGCTCTACTACTCACTGGCTGTGCAATCCTGGGCAAGCCACTTAACCTGTCTGTGGTTCAGTTCCCTTAGCTATAAAAAGGAGACAGAAATAGCACCTACCTCACAGGTTGCTATGAAGATTAATTGAAATAACATAAATAGACAGCACCAAGAATAGTGTGGCACAGAGAATGTTATGTAAGTGTATACTATAATTATTAATGATACCTTCTATTTTCGTAAATTTTTTCTCTTTATTAAGAGTTTTGTAAAGGAATTAATCTCATATAGTTCATACCTGTGTCCTCCATCGCATAGAGCATAGCTTTTATTTGCTATAGAAAAATAACATTTTTGCAAATAGCAAAGAAAATTTTGTGGAATAAATAAATGAGTGAATGAATTCCTGTATTACTAGACACGGGCAAAAATGTTTTAAGGTGCCAGCATCATACCAAGAAACACAGACGTCAGAAGTAGACACAGAGCTTTCCTTAAGCCATCATATAATTCAAACCGTGTTCTCTGCTGAAGCCTGTTTTCATCATGTGTCTCTACAGCAGAGATGTGATCCCGAGCCCTGCTCACATGCCCAGAGAGAGAACGAACCCATTAGTGAAGGTGGAACCACCAACCACTAAACGCAAAGTTCCTGTTATTGTTGGAAAAGGAAACTGGAAACAAAACCCAGGGTTTCAAAAAGTGACAGTGCTTGTAGAATCTCACGCAAACCACTTAAAAGAGAGGCAAGAACTGGAAGAGGTACCTAGCAAGAACTGGGTACCCCACACGTGGCTGGAGAACACAGCAATCGTGGGCATTTGCATTTAAAGCTGCACACACAAAACCCTCAAAAGGTGCGCCTGGGCATGACTGGGCCCACTTCGCCAAAGGGAGACTGAGGACGATGACTCGCCACAGTTCAGAACAGCCCACGCATGGCACAGCTGGACTCGGCAGCAGGGAGGACTCCAGTGTCCCCACCAGCCCCATCTCTTCATGGAAGGTCTGGTCAGCCTGCCCTCAGCCCTGTGGCCTGCAGGGCACTGTGATGACTGGCCAGCACAGCCCACACCAAAGCTCTCCTATGAGGCAAGACACTGCAGAGATGAAGCCAGAGGCACGCACATTCCCTTCCTCTCTACCTCCATCCTGGAAGGCTCTCCCCTGGGACTGAGACACAGCTTCAAGGAAGGAGCCACGTGGGGTACAGGGCCATGAGGGAGCACCCCTCCAGGCAGCCCAGGCTCCCCACCCACCCCAATGCCTGCTGGGCTGGGACACCAGGCAATGTGGCCCTGGCTCCAGGCCCCGGCTCTTCCTTGCAGAACTGAGATCCAGTGGGAAAGATGGATACGGTGAACTGTGAGGGTTTGCAAGGGCCCGTCCTTGGTGGGGGTGAGATTTGCCCCTCTAGTAAACTGGAGGTGTCATCCACTCTGTGTATTAATCCTCTCAGTACACTACGTACCTGCAACCCTTGGAAACAAGAGCGGCTCCTCAGACAGCCCTAACCACAGGGGAGACAAGTCTGCCTCCACAACCAGACTTCCTTCGGTGGGTAAATAACACCTCCCACCCCACACCCACCCTGGAGTGGCCGGGGCCTTGGCCTCGGGGCTGCCCCCGCAGCTGTTCAGAAGAGCCGCATCATCAGCTCAGGCGCACCACGTGCTGCAGACACAGGCACGCAAGCCCTGTCTGTGGGGAACGATCGTTAACTGGAGAAAGGTCATACTTCCAGTCTATTACCCAGCGTAATGAGCAAATGCAAATCAGAGACCTTTCTCAGGTCATAAGAGACTGTGTGTTTTGGAAACCTGAATAATCCCTTCACTGAGGCAGAAACTCAAGAGGAATAAGCCAGCATTTCTGGGGCTCAGGGCCCTGTGTTGAATTATTAGAGAGACCTCCAGGCAACAGATGGCCCCCAACCAGCCTCCCAGAGTAGCTGAGATTATAGGCGTGGACCACCACCGCCCCCAGTCCCGCCGTACTCTCACAGAAAGACGATATAAAACTTCTTGGAAAAACTTACTAAAGAAGCAAATTACTACACAGCAATCTTTAGGTCTCTGTGAACACTGGCCATCTCCAGTTTGAACCACAGACAAATTTCAATTATCCAAGGTCGTGCATGAGAACAGTAGCAAGAGTGGTTGCCCAAAAAACCCTTCGATAGGCTTTGCAAAGAGTCTGTTTTAATACTTCTCTTGGCATATGGATGTGTCTGATAATCAGGCAGTTTACTGCATGGCAAATAACGAAGCCACCCTAAGAAGCTCTACACAGTCCAAGGACAGAAGGGCGTGTGGGCTCCTCCTTCTCGAGCTCCCCACCCTTTCCTGCTGGGGACAGCAAGGCCTGCAAGCCACAGCCTCCCGCCTCCCCATCCCTGTCCTGAGGAGATAATGGAACCTTTTGGTTTAATGGACCTCCTGCTGGGCTGCAGCAAACACAGAAATGCAAAAGTAAGAAAGAAACTGTAATTTGTGACAATGGGGAACTTTAGCATATTCTCCAGTTAATTGTGTAATTAGAAAATGGAAACATGATTCCACAGCCTGGCATCAAATGCACACCAGCGTCTGGGTCCTGCCTGTCCTCTGGCCTCCAAGTGACAGTGACAATAGAGACTCTGACTGCATGAGGAAGGTACTGGACTGTCCGTTCATGGCCCATTCAGTGCAATGAGGCGGGTATCAGTAACCCCACCCTACCCGGACAAAACGGCTCCAAGAGGTCATTTGACTTGCCCAAAGCAACAAAGTCAAGCAATGGTGGGGATGACGACATCTCCCAAGGATGCTTGGCCCCAAAGCCCACCTGCTGTCCCTTCAACCGAGAGTCCTGCCTACGAAGGCAGGCACCCCAACATGTTCATCTCCGGATTTCGTTTGTACCTGGCACAAAGCGAGACATGAGGCAGACCTCCAGTAGAAATTTTAGAACAAAGCATGGCGGACTATAGTGCACCTCTGGTTTGCGAGAATACGTCCAGCACGCCACCAGAGCAACGCTCTCGGCTTACTTAATGATCACAGACGAGAAAACCTCAGGTACTGGCAGAAATGCAGGTGCTCTCTTACAACCATTCCTTTTCCCAGTGATTAAAAAAATTTGTTTTTAGGGCTGGAGTTTCTCTATGTTGCTGCTCCCGGGCTCAAGCAACTCCTCTGCCTCAGCTTCCCACAGTCGCTGAGACTACAGGCGTGAGACACCCCGCCCAGCCCAACCACACTCTCTCCTAGAAAGACGATACATGGCCGGGCACGGTGGCTCATGCCTGTAATCCCAGCACTTTGGGAGGCCGAGACAGGTGGATCACGAGGTCAGGAGATGGAGACCATCCTGGCTAACACGGTGAAACCCCGTCTGTACTAAAAATACAAAAAACTAGCCGGGCGAGGTGGCGGCACCTGTGGTCCCAGCTACTCGGGAGGCTGAGGCAGGAGAATGGCGCAAACCCGGGAGGCGGAGCTTGCAGTGAGCTGAGATCCGACCACTGCACTCCAGCCTGGGCGACAGAGCGAGACTCCGTCTAAAAAAAAAAAAAAAAAAAGGCAAGAAGATATAAAACTTCTTGGAAAAACTTACTAAAGAATGCAAATTCCTACACAGCAAGCATTACGTCCCTGCGAACACGGGACATCCAGTACATACTGACAGTCGACTGAATGATTGAACAGAATTCCCAGATGTTTAAAGACGTAATTTCTGTACTCAATTGAAGACACTATCCCTTTTCCCAAATCACATTCTACCAGGCTGTTTCTGTGAAATACAGTGTTCTTGAAAAATCACTGCAAGTGCCTGGTCATAGACCTGAGGCCTTGATTGACCACACTAGAGATGGGGTTAAACGGCGCAGTTCAGTTTACAAAGATATTGACGCATGTTTAAAAATACTGTGATAGAAACTTCTGCAGAAGCTCACATTTACTTTGTCAGAATTCTCTACCCGCTTAAACACAAAATAGCTGGAATTTTCGAACAGTCAACCAATTGCATTTCAGTGAGTAGTGAACATGAACAGTGATATTTCTTGCCGAGCACTGAAACCTCCTTCCCTCCCCACCGGATAGGGTCTATGGGAAGGAGAGCACCTTCGCAACAGAAAACACACACACGAGCACAGCACTGGATTCCAACCTTCCTTACAGCCAGGCATGGTCACGTGACCCAAGCTCCACCCAAAGCGCTGTCCTGGGCTTAACATGGCGCTGGAAACAGGAGAAGACAGCAGGGCTCAAGAGGAGCCCTTCCTGCTGGTGGTGGCTGTTGCCTGCAAGAAGAATCCTGACTGATACGCAGCCTTGCTGTGATCCTGTTGCGATACCACACGTGCTGCCCTCACCATGTACCAGGAGAAGGAAGCAACGCTTCCAGGAAGCTCAGCACAGTCTTCAACTATGGACTTCTCCGCTCAGTTCATAGATCAATAACAATCTGAGAAGCTGCTGGGAGCAAAGCGATCATCCATAAGATCATGTACAAATTGGTACATTAAGTGCTCAGCTCATTCGTTCACTCATGGAGCGCCTACTGGCTGCCAGGTGCTATTCTAAGACACTAGGGCTACAAAAACAAGGAAGACAAAAATCCATGCCCTCCAAGAGCTCATAATCTAGAAATGCTAATAGGTAAACAAATCCTTTTCTCACCACCGTAACTATGTAGTTAGTTAGGTCCACCTGCCCTGTGGGAGTGGAGGCCCATAAAGTCAGGAATCCTGTCTGAACCTTCACTGCTATCTCTCTGGTTCCTCGTGTCCCATAGTAGGCACTCAATCAATATCATATGAATGGATGAGAGAGGAGTGAATGAATCTAATTCATTCAAACAGAAACACCATGATAAATGTTATAAGAGAGAAACACGGAATCTTATGATAACACTTCTTTATAGGGGAGATATTCGCTGACCTGAGTGCTGAAAACGAGCAGACATTTTTCGGAGAGAAAAGAAAGAGAAGGATACCCAAAGAGCTGGAAAGAACGGAGGCTGGGTGTACAGGCCACGCCATGCTCTAGGAACAGCAGGCAGTGTGAGGGGCCAGAGATGATGTATGAGGCAGTAGCAGACAATGCAGTAACTGAGGCAAAGTCGTGTCACTGATCTGACCACTGTAAGAGAGTTAGGGAACTGCCCTGAGCAAATACTAACTTGAGAACTCAGTGCAGGCCAGGCGTGACGGCTCATGCCTGTAATCCCAACACCTGGAAGGCTGAGGTGGGAAGATCACTTGAGTCCAGGAGTTTGAGACCAGCCTGGGCAGCATAGTAAGACCCTATCTCTACCGAACAATTTTTTCAATTAGCTGGGCACTGGTGATGTGCACCTGTAATCCCAGCTACTCAAGAGGCTGGGGTGGGAGGACTGCTTAAGCCCAGGAGGTCAAAGCTACAGTGAGCTATGAATGCCCCACTGCACTCCAGCCTGGAAAACAGAGTAAGACTCTGCCTCAAAGAAACAAAAAAGAACTTGGGTGCAGACTACTGGGTTGGGTCACATAATGGCAATTTCAACAAAAGTATCTGTATTCGTCTGTTCCCACACTGCTAATAAAGACATACCAGAGACTGGGTAATTTATAAAGGAAAGAGGTTTAGTGGACTCACAGTTCCACATGGCTGGGGAGGCCTCACAATCATGGCTGAAGGCAAATGAGGAGCTAAGTCACATCTTACCTGGTGGCAGGCAAGAGAGCGTGTGCAGGGGAACCGCCCTTTGTAAAACCATCAGATCGCGTGAGACTTACTCATTACCATGAGAACAGCATGTGAAAGACCCATCCCTGTTATTCAATTACCTCCTACTGGGTCACTCTCACGACATGTGGGAATTATGGAAACTACAATTCAAGATGAGATTTGGGTGAGGACACAGCCAAACAATATCAGTATCCAAGTAAAATACTTGGAAGTAGTAACATAGTCTAATAGCAAATACTTTGTTCAAGCATTTGTTGAGCACTTATGGCAAAACCATGAGATAAGGGCACTAACAAAGACGATTTTGCTCATAGGACTCTACAGAGGCACTTACTTTGTTGTGTGTGTGTTTGTTTTCTTTCTGAGACAGGGTCTTGCTCTGTCACCCAGGCTGAAGTGCAGTGGCACAATCTCAGCTCACTGCAACCTCCACCTCCCGGACTCAAGTGATCCTCCTACCTCAGCTTCCCAAGTAGCTGGGACTATAGGTGCACGCCACCACACCTGGCAAAATTTTTGTATTTTTAGTAGAGACGGGGTTTTGTTATGCTGCCCAGGCTGGTCTTAAACTCCTGGACTCAAGCAATCCACCCGCCTCAGTCTCCCAAAGTACGGGGATTACAGGTGTAAGCCACCACACCCGGCCCATATCGATACTTATGACGACTAACTGCCATCTTCTCTAGTGGCCATGAGAATGCACCCCATGGACCTCCAACTGGAGGGGCAGCCACTGTACCCTAAAAACCCATTCCTGCATTTTGCCCTGAACCTCCGCTTCCTACTAACAAAAAGCTATCCACTAAAATCAAGCTAGCCTTTTACAAACAGAGCTTTCAGTTTCCCAAGAAATAATCAGTTTTATGAATTTCCTGCCAGCATCTAACCTGGCTGGCCTTATCTCTCAGTTTGTTAGCCTAATCACAAGATAAATCTGAGGAAGGAGGAGAAATGTATACACAACATATTTCAAAGTCCAGTGTAGGCCATTATCTGTCATTCTGGACTCCTTACATGCTGTGTTTCCATCCATTAATGCAGATTAAGCCTCACTGTGTAAACGATAGCAAAACTGAATGTCAATTAAAAGGGCGCACATACCCATAAAGGTTTCCGTAAACTTCTTACTTTTAAATAATGCTAAATGTGAGGAAGAGTTGTAAAATCACTAGAGTTCCTGTCTACTCTCCTTAACCCACCTTCTCCAGTGTTTACATCTGACAGCTGCAGTACAGTAATCAAAACTAAGAAATTAAATTGGCATATTTCTATTACCTGAACTACAGACATTATTTGAATTTCACCAGTTTTTCTGAATAATGTCCCTTTTCTGTTCCAGGATCCCATCTAGGAGCCTGTGGTGTGTTTAGCTGTCCCGTCTCCCCAGTGCCCCCCATGCCATGTCAGGTCTGAAGTCCCTCCTTGCCTTTCAGAGCCTTGACACTCTTGAAAACTGCTGGTCCAATGTTTTGCAGAATGTCCTTTGATTTGGGTTTGTGCAGTGTCTTATCAGAATTACGGCAAGTTTATGCGTTACTGGGAAGAACACCACAGAGGCAGGGTGCCCACTCAGTGCGTCGTGTCCTGCGGTACCATGGACGGGTACGTTTATCGTTGCTGATATTGACCTTGAGCACTCAGTGTTTGCCAGTTTCCTTCACTCTAAACTTACTATTTTCTTTTCATAATTAATAAACATTTATACTTGGAAAGATACTTTGAGACTATTCAAATATCTTGTTTCTCCTTTCTCATTGACTAATTTTAGCACCCAGTATCAGATCTCACCTACAGCAATCATTATTATGATGTTCTGACGGTGATTTTCTATTTTCCTCAATTCTTCTACATATACTAACTGAACTTCATCTGACATTCTTCTCCTCCAGCTTGTGAATGGCCCAAGCTGTCCCTAATCTAAGAATGAAACAGTCCATTAAGAATTAGTTTAGAGAATGTTCATGCTGTCAGATACAGTGCAAAACTTGCATATGTTCTAAAAACTAAATAAGATACAGGTTGAAGATAGAAACGTTTGAGAATGTAAATTGCACAGAAGATATAATAGGTTAATAGTCTGGCCTATCAGTAGCTTAGTCTTCCTGTGTGTAATGGCCATAAATAAGAGACAAGGTTATTTAATAATCTATAGGCAGGGTAACCACGAACAATATGGTGAGGAATCATCTATAGTTAAGGACAGATCCCTAGAGGGCAATTTAGCATTTCAGACAGGATCCCCAAGGGGGCCCACACATCTCCCCCTTCCCTGGGAGGGTAGGTGGCAGACTACCCACCCCTCCGAGGCCCTCCTCAATCACTCACCCACTACCATGAGGCCTGGTCTCATCTGTATTATGAAACTAGCCCAGTTATTTCCCTAGTGAAAAAACAAACAAACGAACAAAAACACAATAAACAGTGTGACTGTATGACGTCACGGAGGTAATGTGGAAACAGGCAGAACCCGGCTCCTTACAGGCCTGTGTTGGGGTCGGCGGTGGCTGTGACGCAAAGGCAGGATCACACAGCTCCTCTGAAGTCTCAGCAGGATTTTCTTAGAGACCTTCGCTCTGTGCACACAAAGCCAAATGAAGTAGTCATCATCACTTCAGTAAACTTACTACCACTGCTT